AAAAGACTACAATGATATTTCTTCAATTAATAAATATTTATTAGAGAAAAACTATTTGCGTGTATACGAATGCATGAGTATGATATTTGAGTTATGGCATTCCAGGTCTGTAAATATGAAACCGGAATTTGCCCATAGATGGCCCTAGTTATCAATGTAGTTACCGTCAAACCGTGTCATTGGCGCCATTTCCATTTGTTGACATCTGACAAAGATTTTCAACTCACAACAATACAAGTTTCATACAACAGCATAGTTTGTAATAGCGTTGAACATGTCGAATTTTGTGCCTGGAAGCTACAATTTGCAGACAGCATCGATTTTCTGTTACCATTTGAAGAAAACTGCTGCAGAATCGCATCGAATGCTTGTCGAAGCTTACGGTGAGCATGCTCTTGGTAAATCACAGTGCTTTGAGTGGTTTAAAAAATTCAAACGTGGCGATTTTGACGTGAGAAACGAAGAATGTGGAAGACCACCGAGAAAGTTTGAAGACAGTGAATTGCAAGCATTGTTGGATGAGGATGACGCTCAAACGCAATAACAACTCGCGGATCAATTAAATGTAACACGAGAAGCCGTCTCCATACGTTTGAAAGCCATGGGAAAGATCCAGAAGATGGGAAATTGGGTTCCACATGAACTGAATGAGAGACAGCAGGAAAACCGAAAAACCACTTGCGAAATGCTGCTCGCCAGGTACAAAAGAAAGTCACTTCTCCATCGAATTGTGACTGGCAATGAAAAGTGGATATATTTTGAGAATCCTAAGCTTAAAAGATCATGGATAACTCCAGGCGAACCATCGACATCGACTGCAAGGCCAAATCGCTATGGACGGAAGACAATGCTCTGTGTTTGGTGGGATCAGAAGGGTGTGATCTATTATGAGCTGCTAAAACCTGGCGAAACCGTTCATACTGAACGCTACCGACAACAAATGATCGATTTGAATCAAGCTTTGTGTGAAAAACGACCAGAATATCAAGAAAGATAACACAAAGTGATTTTGCTTCATGATAATGCACCATCACACACAGCAAAACTGGTCAAGGAAACGATTGAGGCGTTTAGTTGGGAAATACTTTCGCATGCGGCTTACTCGTCAGACTTGCCTCCGTCCGATTACTACTTATTTGCATCGATGGGACACGCACTTACTGAGCAGCGCTTCACTTCTTACGAAAATGTACGAAAATGGCTTGATGACTGATTTGCCTCAAAAGAGCAACAGTTTTTTTGGCGTGGCATCCACAAATTGTCAGACAGATGGGAAAAATGTATAGCTAGCGATGAGCAATACTTCGAATAAAATATTTTTTATCATTTTCATACAATAAACGTGTATTTTCTATACAAAAATTCCGGTTTCATATTTACATAAATCGGTAAATCGTAAATATTCTGGTAAATCGTAAATATTCATCGTAGAGAGATCAATAACTATGGAAATTGACACAAATCCTTTATTCATTTAAGTTACGAATAAATTAGTCCAAAATAATTGTAAAGCTTTCTCTGACGAAAACTCGATTGCGAATTGACGAAATAGTCAATAAAATGCATAGATTCTCTCATTTCTTTTTCCTGTTTTTTAATGAAGAAACTACTGCATGAATAGCCAAGAGAGAAATTATTGTAATACCGAAAAAAATTACCAAAAAAAAATACCAAACGAACAAACACAACAGAGAACACTGTATTGTAATTACCAAAAAATGAACTATATTATCGTTATTCCATTATGTCGCAGCATCAAAGATTCGTTTCACCCACTCGCGTCTGTCTAACAATCAACTCTGGATTTCCTCACGCTATCGTTGATTCTCTGCAAGGTCACGTTACGACACGCTTAATAGATAAAGCACAAATCGAAAACAGCGGCAGACTGGCAGATCTATCGAATCACATATTTGTTGCTCGTCAAAAATCGATTCACATACCACACTATCACCAAGTTCGCAAAGAATCTTACCGTGGCTATGTCAGCGATCACTGCGACAAATCAAATTGGCACTGGAGGCGTGTTCCAATCGTTCTTTTCTCATACGAGGACGAATGTATCGGACAGATTTCTCTTAATCTTGAGAGATCACGAATAAACACGTCGATTGCGACAAGAGCAGATGGAGTACCAGAGCGCGACTTCGTTGGGGGGATTTTTCGTCTGTTGTCTCTGTTGTGAAATTTACGACGCTCAAAGCGCTCAAGGTGCACAAGCGCGTTTTTTTCCCTTTTTTATGTATATATTCAGGTGCACCGATCGCTAATAAGTCGCGGCAATTAATCAAAGAGCTAATTTCCTCGATATCTATGTCATGGTGAAATATCGAGCGAAACCGACATACCTTCTTTGTTTACTGTGCTGCATCTTAACTGTAAGAAAGAAAAAAGAAAAAATAGAAAAGATGAAAATATAAATAATTTACGAATGAAAACGAAAAATTTCATAACTTTGAGGATACAAGATTGCAACTGAGAAAGGTATATTTTTGATATCAAATAAAATTCTCGCATACATGTATATTCGCATGTATATTCTAACCTTAAATGTGTTATTTTTACTAAAGTACTTTAAGCGTTTCTGTAATTTTAAATTTACGTTATTTAATATATTTAAATGTGATAAATGAATTAATTTGATAATTATATATGTAAAAGTTTATACATATCAAGTTTTTTTTTATTTTAACCCTTTATATCCTAAATTAATTTATTCAAGACCTTATTAAATTTTTGCGTAATGAAATAACTCTTGGCATATCATAAACATAAGAAATAGAAAAATAAATCTTGTAACAATTCATGATTAAATTTTGACGTGGTATTTGTAAGTACCGATAGGAATGTAGGGTAAAACACGGGAAAAAGGTTCAAGAGCACATATATAGAGCGGTACTTTAAAGTACCGTCAGGATATTATACAAAGAGTTAAAGTAGTTTGTGAGATAAAATAAATCATTTTAAAATGTTACAAATTTGTTTTTTATTATGTTTATCATTCTAAACATATTATTTACGTTGTCCTTCTTTGTTCCTTACATTTATTTATTTCTTATATTTACTTATAACTAGTTTATGTGAAGATATTCTTCAAATCTTCCATTTTATTGAATTAATAGTCTGTTGTATATTATTGACTTGACCCATGAGTTCGTGCGGTATTTTGGCTAGTTGGCATCCGTATGTTGATATTAGGAGGATAGTTTTATACAATTGGCCATCTATATATACAGGATGTATATATAGTATACATACATATATATGTGTGTGTGCGTGTGCGTGCGCGTGCGCGTGCGCGTGCGCGTGTGCGTGTGCGTGCGTGTGTGTGTGTGTGTGTGTGTGTGTGTGTGTAATATACATATGTATAAATAGTAAATGACTTTTTTGTTCAGAATGACTTAATCTAGAATTATATGACGGCTATTGTGTCTAGCGACAGATTCAAGATTCAGGATTCAAAGTTCTATATATTTATAGCTATAGCTATATATTATATTTATATTTACCGCTAGATACAATAGCTGTCATAATTGTAGATTAAGTTATTTTGAACAAAAAAGTCCTTTATCATTTTACAAATAAGTACACAAATTTTCAAATTATCAATTAAAATAACTTCTAGATGTGGTGTCATTTCCAATCATTCATAATTTAATAATTATTGCAATTTTTGCAAAATGGTACTTGACTTTTCTTCGCAGTTTAATTTCATTAATCTTCATAATTTTTCGTTTCCAAAATATTCCGGACACTTTATATATGTATACAGGGTGTTCAAAAAGTTCCGGTACGGCCGGATAACTCTTGAAATATTGGTTATCGTAAAAAACTTCTTCAACAAAAGTTGCAGAGAATGAAAAAAGGTATTCAATGGTGACCTTAACTTTTGACCTTGAGGTAACCTTCAAAGTCAAATGAAGGTCAGCTTCGTTTTATTCAAATGGAAGCATGTGATTTTGATAGCGGAAATCAATAGAGCATAAAAAATTACGTCTAGATATGTTCTTAGTCATGTCGACTTTTGACCTCTAGAGGTCATTTCAAGGTCATTGAACCTTACACTTCATAAGTTACAGGCCGGATAAATTTGGAAATATCAGTTGTCGGAAGAAACTTCTTCGACAAAAGTTGCAGGGAACAAAAAAAAAGGTATTCAAAGATGTAGGGGTACTCTCTCCCCTATTTCCTCTTTTTCCCCTTTTTATGTTGATCTCTTCTTTTTTCCTCTTAAATCTATAATCTTCCTCTATTTCCCCTATAATAGGAAATTCTTAAACTTACAAAAAACCAGACAACCTTTTCAATGGCGAATATATGATATCAGGTATTAATTGAGTCCTTTTTGAACATAAGATAGAGTAGAAAAGTGCAGCCATCTCCCGACGCGTATCTTTCCGGAGGCCAGAATTTCAAGACCGAGAATGTTCCGAAATTTTGACAAGATATGTGTCTGAAGATGGCGCGCTAATAATAAACAAAAAAATTAAAGAAATTGCAATTACTACAAAAAAGAAAGAAGTGTGCAATTACTTTTGCAAAACGCAATACAAAAACGTGTCTCTATATGGAGAAAATATTGTAGTAAAAATTAACACAAAATTGGGTAATGCTGGATTATATCGGAATAATGATTGAAATTATGATATATAATATGTTGTAATTTTTAGTGATGTATATGATGTATACACATCACTGAAGATTACAACATATATTATACGAGGGTAGTTTGATAAGTCAATGACTTTTTTAATAAAAGATATTTTTGTCGGCAAATAAGCGTTTTATTTCTCAACGTAGTCTCCTTTTAGCTCGATACATTTAGTCCACCGTTTTTCCAATTTTTTTATTCCTTCCAAATAATAGGTTTTCTCAAGGCCCTCAAAATAGGCGTTTGTTTCAGTGATGACCTCTTCATTCGACCCAAATCTCTTACCGCCCAGCCATTTCTTAAGGTTTGGAAACAGGAAATAGTCGCAGGGGGCTAAATCTGGTGAATATGCTGCATGGGGTAGCAGTTCGTAGCCCAATTTATGGATTTTTGCCATGGTGACTACACACGTGTGCACACCCGTGCATTGTCCTGATGGAACAGCACTTTTTTTTCGCCAAATGCGGTCGTTTTTGCTTCAAATCAATATCGAATCTGTCCAAAAGCTCTGAATAATATTCGCCGGTGATCGTTTTACCTTTTTCAAGGTAATCGATGTGAATGATATTGCGTGCATCCCAAAAAACTGTGGCCATGACCTTGTTGGCCGACAGACCCACCTTGGCCTTCTTTGGTGCACGTTCACCCGAAGAAACCCACTGTCTTGATTGTTCCTTGGTCTCTGGTGTGGTGTGATGGATCCATGTTTCGTCTACGGTAACGAAACGGCGCAAAAACTCGTTCGGATTGCGGCTGAACATCGCCAAACACTCCTTTGAAATGGTCACACGGTTCCGCTTATGGTCGAGTGTGAGCAATCGCGGCACCCATCGCGCGGATAGCTTTTTCATGTCCAAATATTCATGTAAAATGTGATGTACCCGCTCAGTTGAGATGCCTACAGCCTCAGCCACTTCACGCACTTTCATTCTCCGATCGTCCAATATCATTCCATGGATTTTATCGACGATTTCTGGCGTGACGACCTCTTTTGGGCGACCTGAACGTTCGGCGTCACTTGTGCTGGTACGACCATAACGGAACTCAGTAAACCACTTCTTAACCATTGAAATTGATGGTGCAGAGTCCCCATAGTATTTATCAAGCTTTGCCTTGGTTTCGGTGATGGTTTTTTTACGCAAAAAATAATGCTTAATCAGCACACGAAATTAACTTTTTTCCATTTTCGTTAAAATTCACGAGGTTGTCTGCTTTCAATGGCTGTCAAACACTAACTAAATGGCGCAGCTTGCCCAAACTTGTACAGTAGTCTATTAATAGATGGCAGTTGACGGGAGCAGTGCTTCATTTAAAGTTACTGCGCGGAAAATTCAAAAAGTCACTGACTTATCAAACTGCCCTCGTAATTTCGATAATTCCTGTATAATCCAGTATTATACACTTTTTTAATAATTTTTACTACAATATTTTCTCCGTGCACAGCTTATGTTCGTTTTCCTCTTAAGTGAATTTTTTATATTTTGTTTGGAATATATTTTAAAAATTCATTTTATTATTAGGAGCGCAAAAAAGTTCTGAGCCCTAGATTTCATACTACTGAAACCACAATTTAAATTGCATTAATTTTCCCGCCCTCTTGCGGTTTTAAAGCAGTGACATTTGGTCTTTCGAAACATCGTGCGATTTGGCGTTTGATGCACATAACCTTAAAATTAGCAGTGTTCACGATGGCAATAACAAAAGTGCATATTCGATTTTCCATCCACTTCGCGTTTCATCTGAAAAAAAATGCTGCTCAAGCCACTGAAATGATCTGTGTTGCATATGGAGAGAACGCTGTAAGTTATGCTGCGTGTAAAAGGTGGTATCAAAAATTTCGCCAAGGAAATTTCAGTCTTGAAGATGAACCGCGTGCTGGACGCCCTCAAAAGATTGAAACGGACGAACTGCAAGCATTATTGGATATAAACTCTGCACAAACTGAAAAGGAGCTTGCAGAGCAACTTGGCGTTACGCGACAAGCCATTTCCACACGTTTACATGCAATGGGGAAAGTTCAAAAGGAAGGCAGATGGGTTCTGCATGCACTGTCCGAAGACAACAAAAATCGACGGCGTGACACGGCACTCACTTTGCTTTCAAGGTTCCGGAAAAAGGATTTTCTGCACCAAATCATTACAGGTGATGAAAAGTGGATACTTTATGATAATCCGAAGCGTAAAAAATCATGGGTTGACCCTGGTCAACCTTCGACATCGACGCCAAAGACCAATATCCACATCAAGAAGGTTTTGCTTTGCATATGGTGGGATTGGAAAGGTGTATTGTATTACGAGTTATTACAGCCGGGTGAAACAGTAACGGCAGATCGCTATCAGCAACAATTAAGCAATTTGAGCGATGCGTTTGAAGAAAAGAGGCCATTTACTGTCAAAGGACGTCGTAAAGTGATACTGCTTCATGACAATGCCCGACCACATGTTTCGAAAGTGACTCAGGACCATATCTTTGCGTTAGGCTGGGAACTTCTCTCGCACGCGGCGTATAGCCCAGACATGGCGCCTTCCGATTACTACCTATTCCGGTCTCTGCAGCATTTCTTGGCTGATACACATTTTGTGACACTTGAAGAGATACGAAAATGCATTGATGACTTTATCGCCTCGAAGCCGGTGAGCTTCTACCATCAGGGAATTCGCAAGCTGCCCGAAAGATGGCAAAAGGTCATCGATGCAAACGGGGAATATTTCGTTGATTAATATAGTTTTGTTTGTTTTTAAATAAATTTTGAATTTTGCAAAAAAAGGCTCGGAACTTTTTTGCGCTCCTAATATATCTCATACATAGATACATACATAAGTACCACTCACAACTTATGTACAAACGTTTTTTTGTTATTTTAGATTTCAGAAGTTTTATGTTTCCCAGGTAGCAGGGTGATATAAAATAACATATTAATAACGTCTTGAGGCATCTTAATAATGTCACCTTGTTACTTGGGATATTATATATATATATATATATTGCGTTCTTCAATAAAGATATGACTGTTTTAATAAAAATATTATTTTCAATAAAACTATTGTTCAAATACATCAGTGTTATTAGTCTTTTGATATGAATCTGTTTTTTATCAATTAAAATTTCCCATTTTTTCATAAAATACTTCTCCTTTTTCTCATCATAATTTTCCCCTATTCCTCTATAATAAAAAAAAATAGAGTGTACGATCCCTGAAGATGACCTTGACCTTTGACCTTGAAATGACCTCTATAGATCAAAGGTCAACATGACTAAGGACATATGTGGACAATTTTTTACGTACTTTCGATTTCCGTTATTAAAAACACATACTTTTTGAGAAAACGGGGTTGACCTTCATTTAACCTTGAAAGTTACCTTAAAGTCAAAAGTCAAGGTCACCATTGAATGTCTTTTTTTATTCCCTGCAACTTTTATTAAAGAAGTTTTTTACGATAACCAATATTTTAAGAGTTACCCGGCCGTACTACAACTTTTTAAACACCCTGTATATATAATATATGTATATATATATTTTGATAGCTGATATTTCATATGAACAGGGTTGGGTAGTAACTCGTTACTTGTAACGAAGTTACAGATACAGTTACTTTTTTTTAGTGACTATAACTTAACTTCGTTCCATTTTTCCATCTGTAACTGTAACTTAACTTAGTTACATTTATTTTGTAACTAATAACTAATTTAATAGTTATTTTAATAGTTACTTTATATATTTCAAACCTAAGTTTCCGGTAGTACCACAGATGCTTATAGTATAGACATCTGTGGGTAGCATGATAATGCTACGTGCGAAGCTTGATGTACAACAAGCATTAGTTATTCTAACTGCGTTCGGAAAGTGTGTTATTGCGCCATCTTTATCATTCATTAGATGTAAAACAAGGGTAAAATGACACAATAGCGCTGATAGTCTCCTCTTCGAACGCAATCTGTATTTCTCTCAAAAAATTATATTCCTATTGGACATTTCCGTCGCGCGTCGCCAGTCCTTAGTCGTTAACATAACCTGCGTTTAACGTAAACTGCACTGCGTGGTTCCAGTTACTTAAAAATGGAAGCTATGGATAAGACATCGCAATCATTAGAAAAAGATTTAAAAATGCCATGGTCAGCATATGCGGAAGTATTCGAAGTATTATTCATTATTCAATATATTTATAATAAAGTAATGTTGTAATGTGTTACGTCCTACGGACTCCAAGTATTCTAGTTACTTTTATAAATAGAGCGAATTTATTTTATGTTGCACACATAGTTCAAATGTTATATTCAACGAACATGTTCCGCGACCCTTCGAGCACGATGACGTCACATACCGATTTCTTTTTTATCTCCCCCTAGACCAAAGTCTTCTAGTTGTTTGTCAGGAAAATTCGCTGAGTCACTTCCCAGATTGATCAGTCGATATCTGATTTTGTTAATCCTCAAGAACTCACAGCTTTTCCACGTCCCTTCATAAAGTATGTTACCCAATAACTCTTACTAAACCTAACGAAAAGATTAAATTTCTTATCGTCATAAATGCCCTATCCTTTACAATAATTATCTTAGAGATACTGCAACGTAGCTCTTGATCCCCACCTCTAAAAAACATTCGAAGCACAGTCCTATGACCATATTTGGGCATATGAAAATTAGATTTCTCAACAATTCCCCAAATCCCACTCTCTCAATCGAGGTGACGTTTTGAGAAAAGCCAAAAGGCCAAATGACTTCTCGACCGACCCGCAGCCAGAACAGAAGCTTCTCTTCAGCACCCCTTCAGGGTCTCCTAACAATCTAGCCTACTACTGGCTTAGACAGATCAGTGTTTCTCCAGTTGTTAATTATTCTGTGCAACGATCTCGTACACATTTTTGGACCATTGTGAGCAATTCAGTTGAAACCAGCTTCCTATTCTTGACGTAGAACTTGGGTCATCCGCCCTCACCGACACGCAGCAATTACACTCTTCATTTTCGACAAATAGCATAGAACCAGCAGTAAGTTTATACTTTCTTTTGCCTGAGTGACTCCTTTCTTTCCATTTTTCTTCTTTTCTTCTCTCTCTTTTCTTTTCCTTTCCTTTTTCTTCCTTTTTTCTATCCCCCTTGGCATTCCTCCTTAATTGTGAAATCCGGTATCAATGGCCCAATCTTTTCGATCACAGTCGGACATAACGAACACGGAATTTTGTTCAAACCGCGATTGTTTATACATATATATACGTACACATTATAAAATCTTACAAATTTTATTTCATTGTGAATTTCCGCTTAATCACCAATAAAACAAATTATTTGTAATTATAAGCCAATCACGTTTTCCAACTAATTATTCTCAACAAAAAATTCTCTCTTCCCTCAACTGTCGCTCATGGTCCTATCCCAGGTAAAAGAATTCAGTTCCTTGACCTAAATAAAGAACCACCGACGTACGTCCGCGCTAGATAAAGGGATCATTCCGATCCTTGATCTGCACCGCAGACTTGCGAGTACGTCGGAGCTTATGAAAGCAAGCGTCAAGTTGCGTTCCTCCTCCAGAACGTAACAAATGTATAACATTTTATATTCATAATAAAGTATAATTAACTAAGATATAATTTAAATTAATTTGAAATTTACACAATTACGAAATTTATAATATTAGCACATTTATTATAGAAAAGTAACTGAAAAGTAACGACTCGTTACTTTTTAAATAACTGTAACTGTAACATGTTACTTTTGAAAGTCAGTAATTTGTAACTGTAACTAGTTACTTTTTCAGTAAAGAAAACTGTAACTGTAACTAGTTACTTTTACGAAGTAACTTTCCCAACCCTGCATATGAATATATATAAATTTATAGGAAAAGATATGCGTGTACGAAAAAGATGTCATAAACAAACGCATGTGACAGAAATGGTGTTTGAAATTTCATGCAGAAAAAATAAATATTCAAGATACTCCTCGCTTTAGTAGGCCGATATAACTACAGATGTCCAGCACATAACCACTTTAATTGATTCTAATTGATACATACAACTCGGAACATTACAGTGAAGTTAAACATTAGTCAATCAACCGTTTCGAGATATTTACATCAAATTAGAGTAACCTCCGGCGGAGGCTGAAACCGCTAAGAGGCACGTTCCCCAGGTGGTGGATGGGAGAACGCTCGTCAGGTGCTCTTGGGCACGTTGACGGACAGGAGGGAAATAAAATACCTCCCGTGGACCAACAGTCACTAAACTCGAGCAATGGGTAAAACGTACTTAAAACTACTCCAGGTGGCAAACCAATTGCACTGGGAAATCTCCTTGGAGGCAGGCCCCACAGATTCTGGGGGGCCAGCTATTACCTGGAAT